GCTAAATATGCCCTGTCAGCCCTATAACTAGTGTAACGACGCATCGCGTGGCCCACACTGTATATACGTAGAACTCTCTCCAGTCTCATGTAGGTACTGCGGGTACTGGATCCACAATGGCTGCAATCTGTACCCAGTTGAGTGTCTACCCCAGAGGCTCTGCTTGATTCAGCCTCGCCCGGCCACGGCCACGGGGCGTCGGTCGCCACACTTGCCTCATCCAGCTGAGACCGCCGCAGTGACCACAATATCACCTCCCCTCCGTCTACCCTCCCACCGTACACGGACACTTCGCATACAGCTGTCGACATGAACTTCATTAGCACCGTTTCGTCAGTAGCGGCCCACAGATCATGGATGGTCGAATCTGAGGGTCAGTCGGCCGTGGGATCGGATTTCACACTGCAATGAACACAAGACACCTCACCAAGAGACAAGTCTACGGGCGACGCCTCTCGGGCGTAAAGTACATTCCTGTCGGAAAGCCCAGGGCTAAGTCGCCGTTCTCGACGCGTCGGCCGGTGGCCGCGGGTCGGCAGCGCGGTGAAAACAGGTCAGCGGGGCGGGCGCCGAGTCGCCCCGCCGCCGGGGAGGACGAGCCGCGACCGGCGCCACCCGCTGGCCTCGCGCGGAGAGGAAGCCGCCGCCCGCGCGCCGCCGCCGGCCGCCCGACTCCAGAGCAGGCAGGCGTTTTTACCGGAATATGGCGTCGGTTTCTCGGTGGACGGCTATTCAGAGTGGCCGCGGGGCTGGTCAGTCATCACACGTAGCCACCTGCACCAGGCGGGGCGGGGGGCGGGGGCAGACGGCAGGACTGGGTCGGCTGCGTTACGGCAGGGAGAGTCGTGGGGTCGAGCGTCTAGCCGCCTGATCGACAGAGATGCCGGAAACTCCAACCGTTTGACATAGCTCATTTAATTGCTGTTCTCAGGGTTGAGGTTAACTTCAGAAAAACATGGCTCCTCTTTTCATTCCAAGATTACCGACAAAGGCTAGAATTGCGTGTTTGATTCGATTTGATGATCTTAGAACTTAGCGGCCAAATGAAGACTTTCATTAGGAATTATCGAGCACCAATGGGCGAATCGTGTCTGTGTCCAGCCAAAGAAGCCCACTGCAACTGAAGCACCCCAGCTTCGATTCAAGTATATTTAATCGTTAAGAATATCAACAGACAATTTATGTTTGTTAGCCGTAAATTTTGCAGAATAATCAGAGGATATGGCGAGCACTGCCACAAACCGTTTCCGTTGGTACCCTTAGCTAAAACATTGGCGGCATGTCCTGACGCACCCCCCAAACCTCTCCAACCTTGAACGGGCCGTGCCCATAGACTCATCTCCCTGTCCGGTGGCCGGTGCGTCCCACTGGCAGCGCCCCGAACGGCCGAGATTTTCGCAACCGATCCCGGCCCGAAGGTCAGTCGGCTCGGCGCCAGGCACGGCCAGCGCGGCCCACGGGGCTGACAGACCGGGGGCGTCGGACTTCCCCGTCGGGGGTCGGGTGTAGTAGCCTATACGCACTGGGGGGGGGGGGGGGGGAGGAGGACTGGCGCCAGTGTACCCAGACCTGGTGACCTTAGAGGGCACATTTGTACCGGCAATACAGCCTGGTATGACATGGGAAAAAAGTACCCAAGGCAGGGCATGAATCCACAAAAACGTAAGACTGGGTGACAAATTTGAGCGTTCATCCGAAATGATAAGGCCGGCGTCCTTGGCGCGGCCAGGGGGTCAGGGTCGGGTTTGTTGGTCAGGATTGGGGAGAGGTCCGAACATCAGCTGATCATCTGCGCGGCCTGGGCCAGTCCCAGGGGAGCGGCGCGGCGACTCAGTGGACCGCGGCCGGCGCCATTGCGCTGCTAAGTACCACGATACGGGTTATCCAGCACGCGAGAGAAGAGCAAGATGCCGGCGGCCAGCTTTCCAACTGGTCTGAGCAGAGCCGACCGGCTGCCGGCGAAACGGCCGGCCAGGAGTCGCTCACGAGCTACTCCGCAGTCGTTTATCCACTGAGATCACTGACAGCGGCAAGCCCACCTGCGGCGGACCCGTGACACTTGTCCGGCGTTCCTCCACGCGCCGGCCGGGCGGACCGGTCAGGTACTGACCCCGCCACCAACCCCGGGTCAACTCCGGCCGGATATCCATGACCCGGGACACCACAGAAAGGGCCAGCCATTAGGAGCGGACCAGTGGGGCTGGTCACTGGTCAGGTCACGAGTCCATAAGAAGAGAGGCCGGAGGCGGGGTTTCATGATCCCACCGGCGACAGTTTGGACGGTTAGGTTCCAAGACTGTGATAACATTCAGCTCATGTTTCATTGTCACCGTAACAAATGTTTTGGTTCGATTTACTTCATTACGAAGTATAACTTACCTAACAATGTAACGCCCAACATATGCTTCTCAAGATAATGGCAACACCTCAGACCCCTCTATTTTGCAACCGAACCATATCTCTAGCACCGCATTCGTTACCATATGGGCCGATATTGATACTGGCCGCCGCAGGGGTCGGGGTGAAAGTCAGTCGCACAGGCTGGCCAGGTGCACGCTGGGCTGAGCAGTGAGCACGGCGAGTTCAGATTTAGACATCACACAATGGACAGTTCTGAACGGATGAGAGTGGACAAACGGGGACTGAGTATCTGGCATGATGCCTATTTACTGGAGAGTGGAACAAGGCCATATATCCATAAATGTCATAAAGGTATAGAACATTGGAGCAGAGATAGATAGTAGATGTATCATGGATGGACAAAAATACGGACAGGAGTAGACAGAAGTTGCAAGTAGTAGACAAAAAGTAGTAAGTAAATAGAAATGCGTGGACGTTAGAAGACCGGCGTACTGGATGCGACAGGAAGGCATTCTGGGTTCACAGTAGACCGACCGGGATGATACCCCGATGGGCCGGTCGGATTGCGGGGCCGAGGCCTGCTGCTCTTCCCGCTGTGCCACGGCCGTCCACTCCTCCGACAGGAAGGCCGCAGATTGCCCAGTCTCGCTCGATAGCCCAGCCGGGCTCTTCCCCATCCAGGACCGGTTACAAGGGCCGACAGACGACGAAGAGAGCCACCGGAACGGAGAGGGGAAGGCAGTCGGCAGTGTGTTGAGAGGAAAAGGCTGCCAGGTCACCGGAGGTCAATTAGACGACACTTCGGCGCTTAGCGTCGTGACATTTCTCCCTCTCTACACACACGTCTCTATTCCCCGAAGTTTTCGTAGTCATGGTCATCCTGCCCGCCCCTCGTCGTCCACTCCCCTCGCCCTGTTCCCTGCACCTCACCCCTTGAGCTTCCCACTGGCCGCCACCAGCACCGGTTGTGCAAACTTGGCGGTGGCAGCGGCGGCGGCGGCGGCGGTGGCAGCGGTGGCAGCGGTCGTCGCCGCGCGCCATGCATACAACTAGGTCAATACCATACGCCGGCTGCCCGACGAGCCAGCGCGGCGCGGCGCCGGTGCCGTCACAGCGGCGAACGGCCGGCGGCGGTTCAAATCGACCGCCGCAACATCGGCAGTGACACAAGGAATTAGTCGTTTTGCCAGCTGATCGTGCAAAATGATGATGCGCGCGCGGGTCAGGGCTAACAGGCGTGCCAAGTTATTCATGAACGGTGGAGCGCCAACGGGCCTCGCCTCGCCTCAACAGAGTATGTCTACGGCCTTGCCGATGCCTTGATTGTGTTTGTGTTCGGTGCACAGTAGAGCGTGCTCGCACCATTACTGAAGAAAGTGCAGACGTTCTGAGCGCTACCAAGTACTGCTGTCGGTTCAGCTAGTGAATGTTCAGTGTCCATACCTGTAACAAGCGTCAGAAAAGACACCGACCTCTATGCATGCCTGAGTACCGATCGTAATTCGTAGGCAAAGATGCTAGGCAGAGCCACAGATTAACTAGTCACATCAAAGGACACCGTACAGTCCCACGAATTTTCGAATTGGGTGGCATCCTCTCAGAAGCCACTCCTGAACAATGTCAGCTCTCCCCGCAGGCTATTCATTAACATCCATACTAGACCTGCCCCAATCTAACTGTTACACTAAGTGGCATGCTAGCATCATGCGATGGATGTGCCACTCTAAACACTAGAAGACCGGCCTCTGTTGCAACATCGCACCGATGTCAGCTGTAACTAATCGAGTCGTCTGTGACTCGCGTGTGACCGTGCCAACATGCACGCGCGGCATGAGAGGCGGTTCTCCGGCCTCATCAGATGGATCGCCACAGCTCGACCTGGCTACAGCTGGCAGCGAGCCAGCCATGGGCCACTGCAGCAGCGGCGGCGACAGTGGCCTTCCAAACTCTCAGTTTCAGAGAGAGCCCAGCGCTGATGGCCAACACACCACTACATACCCACCAGCTCACATTGAACTAGTCTGGTCTCTGTTTTATCCCGAGCAATAAGACTGAAGCAAGCCGCCGGCAGGGAGCGTCCTATCTCCGTCGCTCGCGAAGCATATCGGTCACGGCGCAGTGCCGCCACGACCCTGACCCCGGCCAGTGGGACACGCAGGGCCTGACAGCCTCCGGTGGCCCGGTGGCCCGGTGGCGGACTGCATCTCAACACAGAACCAAACCCTGCACCCAACCCAACACGACTCAACTCTGACTGGGAGTATCGATAGCCACGATCTATGCCTAGTGGATGAACCCAACGGGCAACGAAAGTAATGCGATATAGTATAGTCGACTACAGAATGATGTTCCACTTTTCACAGGCAATTATTTGCCTGGAGTGGTAGGCTGTGCCGCATCACACGGGCTGAGTTCACAAATTATAGCTTTGTCCCAATGCTCACAATCGACACGCTTAATTGCGTGACAAACGGCACAACTTAGCGCTCCGGTCAACTGATAGCTTCTGAGGAGTGGAACATCATCCTCAGAAGGTACATCCCTCACCCTGCATATTTCCTGAGACAAGAAGGAAAACCATAAGCCGGAGAGAGTTCAGGCCACGTCGGGCCAGGTCCTACCCTCTCCCGGGAACTCACCTCAAAGTATCCGGACTTTCTGACGGCGCGGTGCGAGCAGATGACCATAATGGTGAGGATGACGAGCAGCGCCAGGCCGGTGATGTTGGCAGAGCCGGCGAACCAGCCGATGCCCATGGACGTGTCGAATAGGTAGTCCTGCACCGTGACCCCCGAGCTCTGCGACATGTTCACTGCCGGCGGAGGACGAAGGTTAGGGTCGGGGATGATGGGTTACTCGCTTCAGACTGCCAGCCGTGGCAAATCACATCAGCCAGCTCATTCACAATAGAACGAGCGAGGACAGGTTGAGGTCAGATCAGGTCAGATCCGGTAAGGTCAGGTCCGCTTGAGTCGGGTATGGTCAGATGAAGTTAGGAGGCGTTTAGCCCATGAGCTATACTGTCCACCACTTGGACGGCGCGGTTAGAACGGCATAGATAAGACCATGGGCGACACGCTGGGGACAGTTGAAGGACGCGTCATCTCGGGCCAGACCGCATTAATTGAGCCATACGACGTGACCTTGGCGCTATTAATAGAGACATATTCGGGTCACATACGAGCCGTGTACGGAGGTCGTTCGGAGGTGGGATGGCACGGAGGTCGTTCGCCAGGTCAATAAACCGCAGATAGCTCTTCAGTTCTTTGCTCGATGCTGGCCGCCTTGTGCGGTTATCAATATGGGAGAGTGGGATCGATGGGATGAGGTGGGGGGAGGGGGTGATATTCATGCTGCACGATTATCAACGACATTGGTCGAAATGAAAACCAGGCGTTACAGCGAATTCTTAGAATGCCCCGAATATGTCTCATGCCATTTTGTGGACATTTATCATTGATGCAAGGGCAGGCAACCAAAACACATGCCTGTCCTGTTTCCTCGCGCATGCCACCGTCCATGACCAATGACTATGTAGTATGTAATATCATGTCCGTGCCAGTGACTGACACACAAGAAGAAAACCCTGGCGACACTCACCAAAGTTGGCCATGTGGAAAAGGGTGTGCGCCGCGCTGAGGATGTAGACCGACCAGCCGGCCATCTTGTGCAGGTAGATGTGATGTTCCAGGGGCAGCAGTTGCCCCACGTGACGGGAGCGAAGCCAGGTGAGCATCCGGCGCAGAACGAGCACCAGCACCATGGCGCAGTCGAAATTCAGACAGAAACCTGCCGGGGACAGTCACAGGTCAGACCCCAGTCAGCACCACTAGGGCGCAGTCGAAATTCAGACAGAAACCTGCCGGGGACAGTCACAGGTCAGACCCCAGTCAGCACCCCTAGGGCGCAGTTGAAATTCAGACAGAAACCTGCCGGGGATCGGTCAGAGGTCAGACCCCAGTCAGCACCACTAGGGCGCAGTTGAAATTCAGACAGGAACCTGCCGGGGATCGGTCAGAGGTCAGACCCCAGTCAGCACCACTAGGGCGCAGTTGAAATTCAGACAGGAACCTGCCGGGGATCGGTCAGAGGTCAGACCCTAGCCAGCGTCATGGCGCAGTCAACGCCTAGACAGGATCATGCCAATACACAGTAAATGTTGAAATAGAGCCCTGCCAGCGCTCAGTCAGTTTAAATGTCAACCAGAACTCCAAAGGTACGTAGTTCAAGCTCAGAGCTGAGCTTCGTCGAGACGCATTTAAAGTTTAGTTTGAATCCTGCCAATGTCGTACTGCGAAATGCGCAGGAGACTCACCCAAGCCCGCTATCAAACAAGCACTCAGTACACGATCGTTTACACACATACGAAAGCACCGTCTCACTCCCAAGGAAAGTCGGCCGGGTTTCTCCCCACCCCCGTAGCGGTGGGTAAGGCTCTGAGTTCGTGGGAAACTTGCGTCCACGCGCTACTGTAAGTCGTCGCCGCGGGGTAGGCCCGTGGGAGACGGTTACCTAGCGAGCGATACTGGAAAAATTGACAGCTACGCTACCAGACCGTAAGCGTAGGTCGCACAAGTCACAACAAAGCAAGCATTGGATAAGCCATAACGGCGCCGAAAAGCACAATTGAATAACTCGGCGTTGATGTTTATACAATCTCTAATCGTTTTCAGACGTTAGTGCAACCAAGTTTTAGGTCTAGGAGCCACTCAATTAGAGCTCTATCAGAGAATCCGTGATGCCTGAGTCACTCGCTCTGAATGAATCCCGGTCCATCGAATTTGACAGACAGTTTGACGCCCTTGCGTCTGCCACAGCTCATTACACAGTTTGAAAACAGCACCGCATTCAGCCGAACCTACCATGACGACGCGTCACGGCCAGGCCGGGACCACGCACTGGGCCGACCCGGCCGGCGGCCCTGGCGTCACGCGGCCGTTACGCGGAATGTAACGCTGCATTAGTGCGGCGAGCGTACGGTGACCGCAGCCCTGTCACGGTGTAATGAGACCGAACCGCGGCGCATTCCCGACAGTCGACGGGGTGTAACGCAGAACCCCGAATATGACGGTAGGACCAGATTATCAGTCACCAGTCCATCAAATGACACGTCAATCCACAGCATGCCATAAACATAAGTATCTTCAGTCCTCCATACACTCGATCATTACGCCGTCGCATTCTTTACATTCCGTTAGTTCTCAATTATTTGACGATTGACACATCAACAGTCAACACTTATCGGTCTGTGTAAGTATCGGTGCTCGTCCTTGGGCACTCAGCGCACACCTGCAGACGCGACCGTCAAACCGCCGGCGATCGGCGCACAATGCAATCCCGACCTACCCCAATTGCTGCGGCCGGACGGCGGCCCTCCGAACGCTTGCCGCAACAGTCCAATCAAAGACAACTTTCGCGTGGGAGCCGCGCCGCTCCACGTCTCCGGGCGTCCGATCTGCGCCGGTTTCGCCGCCGGCGGTGGGTCTGTGTTACCAAACGGCAAGGAGTCGCCACGGCCACCGTTTATCGCACACCCACTCGAACATAGAGCCACGCGCCCCAGGGGAGGCGGCGAGGATTCACACGGATCCGCGCTGCCGACATACTAAGGTCAGGGTCAGCGGTCGGCGGTCCGCCGGCGACGGGTCGGATGCCTCAACTGAAGACAAATAAAAGCTGTACGCCCATTGATATGATAAACGTTTACATTTACAAACAATAGGAAATGGTGTAATCAATTAATTATCCATGATAACGGTGATGGTATCAGTAGCAACTGAGCCTCACCGTCGCAATAACTGCACATCAATTGCGACCAATCCTTAGCCTCCATGCAATAGACATCCACTGATGACTTTGTTAAGTGGTGACAACTAAATTGCAAAACTATTCTATTTTTAAGGCCTGACGACTTAAGCTGCTAAGATTGTTCCACTCTTGAGCACAACAGCGGACTGTCCCTTTAGTTTAGTTACAGTCTGTCCTGAACGAGGCAGTCTGCGTCGCTCGGCTCCCACCCACCGCGATCCGAGAGGCGGCCGACGGACGGCCGGTAGTCACGGGCGCGCTGCCGCTCGGGAGAAACCTGCCGTCCCGTCTCGGTGACGGTGACGGCGATGACGCAACCGGCGCGGCACCAACGCCGGAAGGGTGCTGTCGGCGGACACCCGGGCTGAGCGGACGATATACTCAGTGCGGGGGTGCCGCGTAACCGTGCTGTGGTTTTGACCTCTGAACGATCAGTCCCAATGCGCGATGTCGGACATGGCATGGCATGCAGGACTGGCCAGCGATAATTTTACCGGCGTGTACTTCAATGGCGTGTACTTATCTGTGTGCTCGTCGATCGTTCACGTAATCTGTCACAAGATACCGTTTATCGCACATCTACAACGTCACAAGATACCCACATACACCAGTTAACTATAGTTGATCGTCCTCTAGCGTGGCTTCACAATCTACACCGCACACCTTACAAGATTCGCTTTCTTTGACCCTAAAATAAAGTCACCATTGCTTCAATAGAACATGACGTGTCACCAATGAGAGCGAGAGCTTACCAGCGCTCTCGACCGGTAGAAGCTCAGAGCGTGCAACTCCCGGTGGAGAGAATTACAAAACGTGCAACTCCCTGTGGAGAAAAGTACAAAATGTGCAACTCCCGTCGCGTTCAATTTCGCCGCCAACCGATAGCCACAGCGTCCACCGACCAGAAACCGGCGTAATCGTACTGCGTAGGCGGAAGTTAGTCTAATGAAACAAAACCATGCTCACGACCAAAGTGGTTACTGAAATAGACGGCGACCGTCCGGTCCCCGAGACACAGTCACTGATGGCGTCAGATGTAATGAGCGGCGACCGCCGGAGATGACGGGTGTCTGTAGCTGGCCACATGGCCGGACAGTTTCGCCGGAGAAAGTCTGACCCTCCGTACCCGCGCAGAATCGGTTACAACATTCACTATAACTGGAGGTCGTTAGAAATAAGCCCTGACAATAACCAACTAACCACCCCTCATCTCTTCCGGGGCTATAAGACATCGTGTCATCAGCGATGCAATGATCAGTTTCAATTGGTGTTCTATTAGAAGGGCAGCTCTGATGTAATTCTCATAACAAATCCCACATGAGCGACACAGCGATATAAACGTGTATCTCATTACCCAAGACGCAATAACTGCTGGGCGGTTAATGTGCTGTTTCCTTCAGTGACGACCCTAGCCTCACCTGAGCGGAAGAACCGCAGGTGAGGCAGTCTCAGAAGAGCTCAGCTACGACCTTACAGGAGCTCAGCGCGGATCACGGCGTAAAAACCCGTGTCCGGTGGTGGCCAAACGGAACCCGTGGCGCAGCCAGAATAGATACTTAATGGCTACACAACGGCGGAAGGACCTCCGTCGTATTTTTTGCATTAGGAGATCTTACTTGCGCAAGTAGAGTAAGCTACAAAGCTGCCCTGCCCGTGTTCTAAAAGTAGCTTCACCGTCAGTGTCAATTCACTCTTGGATCATATGCATGGTTGGGTTTGGCACACTTCTTACACATTTTCACATCTATGATGTTACCCCTTTTCACCCCTACCATCTCCCCACAAAAATCGTACCCCACATCTGATCGATTTCGGACTCCAGTAGCGCCAGTTCTCGTCTCACCCATAGTTCCCTTCCAGCAAGTCCCGTCCCTCACTCGCCCTGTCTCAAATCCTGCCTCCCCCTGTCTCACCTGTGCCGCGGGCCATCTGTTCGAGCAGCGCCCGGTCACGGTACTGCCAGACGCGCCACCCGAACAGCGCCAGGTTTGTGCCCGCGTACAGCGCCGTGAACGCCAGAAAACTGGCAGCGTTCCTCAGATAACCGGCGCGCAGGAACCGCGGACGGCGGACGCGCAGGCGAGACCGGCACGGAGCTGCCTTCAGCCTGTGGAAGGGGGAGAGTGGGTCAGATGAGGTAAAAGTAGTTACAAGGCAGTTGAGACTGGTGTCAAACGTTCTAAGCATGGCTGAAGTTGAGAGGCATGAAATAGAAACATAGCAAGCCAGACAAGCTTCAGCAAGGATGAGAGAGATCAGATGAGGTAGAAACAAAGGGCAGCCGGAGCTGGCATCCAGCAGTCTTCAGCACGTATAGGAGAAGGGAAGGGAAAGGTCAGAGTGAGAGTTATTTGCTGTCAGTGATGGACTATTGATGACGCTTGATGTCTGACTAGAATACTTAGTAGAAACAAACGGATGACTACTGACCAGGTGCTATCATTTTTACTACCATGGCGTTAAGAGGGTGCCTCCTGACTGTTGTTGACGACGGCTGCTTGTTTGCCGGTGCCTTCTGGTCGTAACTCGATGCTTGTCCACTTCTTTGTCCCGGGTAAAGCCCTTACTAGCCACCCAGTGCATACATGAAGGCTGGAGGTGAATGAGTGACCGGCTAAGAGTGTTGTGTGTTTATGCCCGGAGAAGCAGGCGACGACAGCGTCTGAACTCGACTCGCCGTCCTAAACAGTTCTAACGGATCAACAAGAGCAGAAGCAGTTTAAATAAAGGAGTCACTTAGAGCTGGCTGGTATGGACGTCGGACATTGCCATCAGAGCCGGCCCCGACTCAAGCAAGGTGGCGCCTGCTGAGCACTACCACCGTTAAATGCAACAAAGTCGGTCAAGTACCGGGCAGGCAGAGGAGCAAACACTCAAAGTCCCACGAAGGGTCGGTAGAAGCCGTATCGGACTCAGAGAAGTATGCACTGTGTAGAGGTTCGGTCAACCATGTTGCAATGCAACCGGATTCTGAGCCCGTGAGGCAGGAGCACGTCATATGCCACCAACCATCAATTAACAAAGACAGCATCCTGGCAAAGGCAAGGGACGAAAATCAACCGTAGCGGTGACACATCAGGGACATAGCCACACTCGCTGCTTCCCTTCCTCGCCACTCTCTGTTATCACGTCTTATCACTGTTATCACTTCCATCCCTAAGAACAAGAAACAGGACCGTGTCACCACCTCTGAAACACGAGTTGAAACCTTGTCACCACCCCCAAAGTACGTGCTGACACCATGTCAACACCCCAAAGCGCGTGCTGACACCGTGTCACCGACAACTGCTGCCTGTCCTCTCTCAGTCCCGCCAGCCCACAAACACGGCAGTTTGTTCCGGCGGCTGAACCACTCGCTGCAATGCAATGTTCCAGAGCTAACCTCTACCTCTGCTACCCGGTGTGAAACCCACACCCGGGCGCGGGTCGTGCGAGGCTGAACCGAGCACAGGTCGTGTCAGACGGCTGTCGCCCGGTGCGGCGAGCACACGGCCGGTGACAGGGTCGGTTCCGGGGTCATTTGCGGCACCGCGTGTTCGAAAGGCGACTCGGAAGTGATACCCTTGATGTGAGAGTGAAGCAACATGCTCTGGCTGATAAAAATAATATAATTAATACAGCAAAATGAACAGGAACGAGTCACGACATAGGCACTGTCACATGATACACATGTTAAGGCTGAACAAAACAAAACATTAAGAGCGGGCCCTAAAAATGATAAAAGTAAGCACAAAATGCGAGCAACTCTATCAGCTGAACTTATTACCGATTATAAATCATGATTCATGTGCTTCGCACACCGATCAAATATGTGGAGTTAAATTTAAACATGCGGGATATTGTCCATTGTGTTCTTTCATCCACACTGGCGTTCCATGAAATGATCCATTGCCACAATCGATTGGGAAATGTTGATTTTGCGCAAATGCCGCACAATGCCCATTACGCTCCACAGCGCCCGCCCGCTGACGTCAGGCCCCGTCTCGTCTGGTCCGTCTGCAGCAGCCCGGTAAGGTGCGCGACAGGGACGGTTGATGGCCTCCACGGAACAATGCGCCATGTGGCCGGGATGGTGCGTTACGCCACCAGTTTGTCTCTGCTCTGGGCTAACCCGCCGCGGCCGGCGCGCCAGCCAGCCGACCGTGTGATGTGTCTGTGTCCGTTCTAGGAGAGGCGTCAGGGTCTGACGCACAAACTACAGGATGGATCGACTGCCGAAATCCTGGGATAGACAGAGGAAGACGGATGTGGTCTAGGGATTGACGAAGATCTACTATACCTGTGGATTGCTGCCATCTGTAGAGGCAGACGGAAGTGGACGGCAAGAGAAAATGAATCATTCGATATCGGCTGCTGCTACATCTACAGTCCACCAACCCCCCCCCCGTCCACTGCTCTCTGCACAGTTGCACCATCAGCAGTCAACACTGCCGCCACGGTGTAACGTTTTGGACATCTGACGCGGCTCGGTCGGCACCGTGAAACAGTACACCCCGCCGGGGCGGCTCCGGTGTCCCCCCTACAGAGACGACCGGTGACTGACCTGTTTCGGCGCACCCTTCCCTCCCACTAGACTACAGATCCAGCATAAGCCGGTAGCCCACAGCGGCAGAGGAGCATATAGTAGGTAGATCACGATTATATAAGGATCACGATGCGGAATGACTGACAGGGGTGTCGAAGCGATGTCATCCAGTTGTAGATCTCCTCTTACACGCATTACATACCACAGAAGGTCGCCTCTCACTTCATTCTGCGCGCGCAAAACGAGCGACTATTGCGATGGACCAGCTGTCACTAGGAACCCTCTCTCCGCGCACCAGCAGTGCATGGGAGACGCTGGCAGATAAAGGGCCCGTTCCGTGTTCCTAAAGCCTCTAGCACAGGTTCTTACATGAGCGCCGACAGGGACTTACCATGCGTGAATGCAACGTTCATCCCGCGTGCCGATGGACGATTAAGAAAGAGACCTTGGATCAGAACCAAGCATCTGAGAATCAGCACGAGCAGCTTCCGCGCTATCTGAAAAAGTTGTGGCATCTCACACAGCCTCGTGCGAAGATTCCTGAGGTGTCCGCAGCCGGATAAGGTCTCATCTTCTGACGTCAGGAAGGTGGGTGGCATTGGAAGGCCATCCAGATTTGCGGAGTCCAGTCACAGGTTTTGGGTGTGACTGCATGACGAGATGACGGGACAGAAGTCACTGATTTCAATCCTGCGGGATGGTGGCAACGTCAGAAATGTGAGAGATGATTCCCGCATGACGGAGAGGCGGCAGGTTATTGGCGTCGAGTGGCATATATGTACATACGCACACATATAAATGACGCTTTACGGCATCGGCTGCGCAAAATAGCGAGGCATGCAGAACATATCAGATGATAATGCAAACGGCTTACATCAACCCCAGCATGATGAAGGGTGGACATACATTGCTATTTTCCGGATAAAATGTTGTCTCAAACCACATCACAGAAGCGAAGAAGATATGAGTCAGGAGCTATTATTGCCCCAAGAAAGGGGAGCTGTTCGCCACTGCGGTTCACGGACTGATAGGCGCTCTCCAAAAACGGACCGGGGCGCCGCCTATTCGTGATTCACGGACCAGAAACCCGCAGTCAGCTCTCAAGAACGACAACGCCCTAGGACTTTGGCGTGCCTTGAATGTGCCGTATTAGTAAAACTAGCTCACCGTCTGACTCAATCTGAGCACAGACACACGAGCACCGACTCGGCATTCTAGAGAGGTTTTGATAACACCAACAAAGGCTGCTGGAAAGCTGTACCAGAAAGCTTGATTCTTTACTTTATATGCCTCTTTCAAATTACCAAAAGACGCGAACCAGTTTGTCTTGTGCTTATTTGCTTCGGTATAATATGAAAGCACCCAGACCCAGAATGCACCCAGAATGAGAAAGAATTTCTGACTTATACGTAACACCAAACAAACTAGATCGACAGGTCTAGTTGGCCTGACGAACTCTGTTAATTATCTGACTCGCTATGAGCCAGAGCATTGAGTAATCAACGGTGACGAGAATTGTTCGTGTAACGTGCCCTCCGGTAGCAGCGACACCCACGGGTGTGGGCGGTGGCATGGGCCCTGGCGGTCAGTGCCGACACCGCGCCCCATATTCGGACCAGCAATGACGAAACTCTTCAGAACGCGGCGGGGAGACACGGAGCAATGGGGCGAGGGGGGACGGCCCCCTCACAGGGTAATAAGGCTCTCCGTGACAAGGGTCAATCGGAGGGGACGAGAGGCGTCATACCGATATATTCACGCTGATCACGAAGTCGCTAGAGGGTCATCAGTGCTCTAAATTCCAATCAATTCAGAAGACACCCAAATCACCTTGGCTGTAATGATCAGCACAGTTTGCTTGGAAAATCATGGTCATGACTTTCATGCATGCCTCAGTCACTTTCTCAAACAAACACAAATGCTAAACCTTCCCCTCGGACCGAAATATCCCCCTGGCACAGATCTACCAATGCAGATTGAGGCTGCGTCTCCCTGTCCCCGGACGAACGACCCTCGGCGGGACCTTGCCTTCCCTCTCAGAACCGGTTCTGGCAACCCGGTCACGGTGCGGGCCATGAAGAGTCGTGCCGTCCCGTTTCCAGATGCACAGTGGCTACTGACCAGACACGCGCCCCTCTTAGCTCCATACAGCTCGCAAGGTTCGTCCGAGCCAACTGTCATCACTGACGACCGCTATTGTTTGACTGGTGAATAGGGTGTCTCGAAAAATAAAGTTGACATGCCTATAGCCCAAAGCATTTGCAATCGAGTCTGCTGGTTTCGAAAATCGCAATTAAAAAATTATGAGCCATTGTCTTCAACAAGCGCAGTCGCGATTTCCTAGAGCTTGCACCTACTTTTCGGGCGTTGCAGTCTCCATTGGTTTTGCTTGGTGTTAGTGGCACTAATAATACGGTGGTTTTCACGAAAGTCTCAGGCAGAGTTCGTGGGTGAAGAGTTTAAGCGTAGTTTCAGGTCGGTAGTTAATTGACTTTCTGTAATATAAAATATAAATAGAATATAAAAGACGGTTAACTTTCTCCAAAAACCGACTGTCTTTATTCTCCCCAAATCTGCACATC